AGCCTCCTCTGGCCGTGGCACGGCCACAGCGGGGTCCAGCTCACCTCTGTGCGTGGTGCGGCACTGCCAAGCTGCCTGGGGATCGCTGCCACGGGACGAGGGTCACACTTGGTGCGCACCCCACACCGCTGGCTGCTCACAGCACCCCGGGAGCCAGCGCTGGCACGAGCAGCCCCGTGCTGGTGGACATGATGGGATGCTCCTCTGAGCTGAGACCTGCATGGTGGTGGGAGACACAGGACTGTGCTGCGGGGCTGTAGGGTGCTGCTCTGTGACCTCTCCATTAAAGTGAAGTTGTCCACCCCTCCAGTACCAAAGAGCTGTTTATTTGCTCCTTTGCTGTGTACAGCTGCGGAGTGACCCAGAAGGGACAGGACCAAGCACTTGATTTCCACTCCTAAGAGATTTTTTTCTTGTTGAGGAAAAGCCCATACAGGGTTGTGGGGCTGGGAGAGGGTTAGTAGGCTGTGGTCGAGAGCCCATGCTGGTCCCTGGGCTCCAACCTGAGGTGAGGCACAAGGAGGGCTCAGCCATCCAACAGCAGCAGGATGGCTTTTGGAGAACGAGCTGAGACTTCAGCAAGCTTCTGGATGGAGACACCAACTGCCTCCTGTGCAGTCCACTGCCCGGAGCAGGGCCCTGAGTGTTTCCCCAGCACCACCCTGGGGTGGGGGGGAGCTCGCTCGGCTCCCTTCACAGCTGGGTGCTGCTGCCTTGTGTCAGCTGAGTTTTGCCGTGTGTCACCGTCTGCTCCATCGGTCCGGCTGCAGGCACGTAAGTGTCCCTCGTCCTGCCTCTGGAGCTGCCTCCATGGCCGCTGCCACTCCAGCCCGTTCCAACACAGGCCCTTGCAGGGCAGCCCTGGAGCTGGTGTATGCTGCTCCCCCAGGAAAGTTGCAAGCTTCCAGGGAGTCCAGCTGGTCCACGGGTCCCTCTGGCCATCCCACCGCTGGCTGGGTGCACGCCATGGGCTGTAAAACACCTGGTGTGTCTCAAGATGATGGTCCCAGAGTGGTCCCATCCCCATGGCGTTGCTCTGCCTTGCTAAGCTGTGCCTGATCGCCTCTCTTGTATAAGAAACATTTGCTAGCACCACTTCCCAGTGAGATCTAAGAAAGTCCAGGGGGGTCTCTCGGATGGCTGCTGGAAGCAAGCGTGCTGACCTCGGTGTGGGCCTGGTGCCACCATGACAGCAGCACCCTGCCACCGGCCCTGGGCCAGTGGACGTCCGGGGCCGGGACCCCACTTCCCTGCCAGGATGCTTGCTGGCGGCTGGCTCTGGCCTCACCTCCAGTCCCACTGGGGCTGGGTTATTTTTCAAAGCGCT